GAATTAGCAAAGGGAAAAGGTGCATAGACCAAGTCCAGGAGAAGCCAGGAACAAGCTTCCAGTTGCTCCCTCCAGCACAGTCCCACAGATACTGTTTCATTCTCCCAGCAATAATGTATAACAAGACATATGAAGACATATGAAGTCTTGCCAACCAGGGAGATGCACCCAAGCCTTGGATTCCAGGTTTTGTATTGGAGGTCCTGTAGGCATGCAACACCTATGTGACTGGTCTTGGCTACTCACTTTCCAGCTTCCCAGAGATCAAACTGACATATAGTGGCCAAGGGCCTCAGGTATATAAAACAGGGGTGAGCCATAGGTCCATCCCGAGCATAAACTCTCTGGTTAAATTGATACAGTATGGCCCAAACTCTCAAGCTCTCCTCTTATCAGGCAGGATATTCCAAAGGGGCAGAGGTAACCTCCCAGGAGCTAGTCAAGGGTCAATCCTTTCTTTGGAATGTGCACAATTTGAGTAACCTAAGCTTGCTAAGTTAACCCTTTATTGCACACCCAAGAAGTGTGTTATGTTGACTACAACATTTAAAAAAAATTATCTAAGTTTTTCATCTTCCTGATGGCAGAAAACTTGATGTAGTCATATTTGAGTTAATTTGCTTTTGTTTATTTTGTTTTTAGTCATTTAAATTTTAAACTCAATCAATACCATATTCATTCTCCCTTTTATCTATCACTGATTTGAAGGTCCAAGGGTTTAAGAGGGCCATGGCATATGTGGGGAAAGACATTAGATTTTGGGAGGCATTCTTGGTTTACCGTGGCATATGTAGAGTGTGCCTTGCCTCCATTTCCCCCCCTCCCACAATAAAACATCTGCAAATATTTCTTTTTGTTGTGAAACTGGGTCTTGCTATGTGGCCAAGGCAGACCTCAAACTCCTGGGATCAAGTGATCATCCCTCCTCAGACTCCTGAGTAGGGGGTATTGCAGGCACAGGTCACCCTAGCCGGCTAAAAATATAGGTTTTGTTTTGTTTCTTTAGAGACTGAATCTCACTGTTGCCCAGGCTGGAGTGCAGTGACTATTCACAGGCATGGTTATAGTGCACTGTGGCCTGAGACTCCTGGTTTCAAGTGATCCTCTCACCTCAGCTTCCTGAGAAGCGAGGACTACAGCAGTGCACACCTGTGCTTGAGTTCCATTGGATTTTGACTGTGGCCCCCCACCATGGACCCCACTGAGATAGTCTGAGATGGCCTTTGGTGCCTACTCATTGCATTCTCCTTATCCTGACTCAAGTCATCCAGGCCTTTCTACTTCTGAAAGCCTGAGAATCTTTTCCTTCTTCCACTAAAGCTGTAAGAAATTGGGTGAAGGAGTTACTTCAGATCCTGTATGCCTAAACACGCCTCACAATCAGAGTTCTACTGAAAAATGATTTTCTTTTTTCTTTTTTTCTTTTTTCTTTTTCTTTGAGATGGAGTTTCACTCTTGTTGCCCAGGCTGGAGTGCAATGGCGTGATCTCAGCTCACCGCAACCTCTGCCTCCTGGGTTCATGTGATTCTCTTGCCTCAGTCTCCTGAGTAGCTGGGATTGCAGGCATGAGCCACCAAGTCTGGCTTATTTTGCATTTTTAGTAGAGATGGGGTTTCTCCATGTTGGTCAGGCTGGTCTCAAACTCCTGACCTCAGGTGATCTGCCCACCTCGGCATCCCAAAGTGCTGGGATTACAGGCATGAGCCACCGCACTTAGTCCTGAAAAATGATTTTCTTTTTCTTTTTTTTTTTTTTGAGACAGAATCTCGCTCTGTCGCCCAGGCTGGAGTGCAGTGGTGCGATATCGGCTCACCACAAGCTCCGCCTCCCAGGTTCATGCTATTCTCCTGCCTCATTCTCCCAAGTAGCTGGGACTACAGGTGCCCGCCACCACACCCAGCTATTTTTTGTACTTTTAGTAGAGATGGGGTTTCACCATGTTAGCCAGTATGGTCTTGATCTCCTGACCTCGTGATCCCCCTGCCTTGGCCTCCCAAAGTGTTAGGATTACAGGCGCAAGTCATTGGGCCCGGCCAAAAAATGATTTTCTTAAGTGTCCTGGAAGTTCTAGAGTTTCCACCCACTAGCACTTTTGAGGGATGGGATGAGAAATCTCACTAGCATCTAATGCTTTTTTTTTTTTTTTTTTGAGATGGAGTTTAGCTCTTGCTGCCCAGGCTGGAGTGCAATGGTGTGATTTTGGCTCACTGCAACCTCTGACTCCCAGGTTCAAGCAATTCTCCTGCCTCTGCCTCTCAAATAGCTGGGATTACAGGCATGCAACACTATGCCCGGCTAATTTAGCGTTTTTAGTAGAGACGGGGTTTCTCCATGTTGGTCAAGCTGTTCTTGAACTCCCGACCTCAGGTGATCCGCCTGCCTTGGCCTCCCAAAGTGCTGGGATTACAGGCATGAGCCACCGTCCCTGGCCAGCATCTAATGCTCTTATTCTCCTTGCTGATGCCCTTCTCTTCCAGTTCAGATGGCTTTGATCCCCTCTCTTGTAGGTGGTGGTAGTGGTGCAGTTAAGAAACGGCACATCGGGCGAGGTGGCGGGCGCCTGTAGTCCCAGCTACTCGGGAGGCTGAGGCAGGAGAATGGCGTAAACCCGGGAGGCGGAGCTTGCAGTGAGCTGAGATCCGGCCACTGCACTCCAGCCTGGGTGACAGAGACTCCGTCTCAAAAAAAAAAAAAAAAAAAGAAAAGAAACGGCACATCATCCAATTAGGCGGACCCATAGGATGGATATGGGAGAGCAGTAACATCAGACAGGAAGATCAGATGGGAATAAAATTGTGGAGAGCTTTGGATGCAGTAGAGAGCCACAGAAAATTATGGGACAAGGGAGGGACATAGGATGAGAGCTGTAATTAAGGAAGAGTAATCTATTGGTAGTGTGGATCTTTGTGAAATACATTTGAACACACTTTGTAGGGCAACAATATCTAAATAAAGAAATCATATGATTAAGAAAAACAAACAATAAATTCATTTTCTGGACTTGAAGTCCCATATATGTGAACAAAGTACAAAGTACGATTGTTTTACTCATGTGAAATTAGGAAGGCTAAAACGATGGAAGATAATTTTCTGTAAACCACGCTGATTTGAAAAACTTTAAGCTAGTGGGTTTGATCAAATTACATGGGATTCTTTCAAAACCAGTCTGCTAAATTTTACCTCTCAGTTTTCCTTCTCTACCACCGTCATCTGGGGAATAAGAAGGACTTGTTTTTAGTAGGCTTGAATCCTGTACACTACCTATGTAATGAATTTGTAGCAAATTAAGGGAGCTGATTTTTGAACACAAAATTTCCATTCCTAGTGTGTGAATGTTTTCAAGGTGCAGCTTCAAAAATATACAATACGGTTTGAATTCTGGGGAAGGAGTGTTCAACTTTGGGGTGGCTTTAGGGGATAACAGGTAAGTCTGAATTTTGAAGGAACTAAAACAAAGGGAACAGCGTGTACAAAGCAGGGTGGCCTTAGAATTGCGGCAGCATGAAGCTGAGAGTCGCGGCGACTTCAGCTTGAGAGGTATATACGGACGAAATCATGGAGGGATTGGTAAGTGGTTGAAGACACGTGGGACAGACTTCTGTTTCTGGACTCACCCAGGTCAGAATCACTTCAGATGCTGTCAAAATTGAATAACTGAATACGGAGGTGGCCCAAGCACCTGCTTTTCATTAAGCTTTTCAAGTGATTCTCATGCAAACTAAGGTTTAAGAGCTACTTCCATGCAAAAAAACAAAACAAAAGGGGTGGCGGGAAGAGCCGTTGAATTTCATGTGATTAAGTAAAAGAATTTCTCACTTGAGGCCTGCGGAGATTGTGTTTAAGGGCAAGGTCTTGAAGGACGGCTACGTTGCCTAGCCCTCCCCCATTGTCATCCTATGTAGTCAGTCCTCCAGGAAAATTGTGATTTTAGCAAAGCCTTTCATGACCCACTCCATCTTTCTCTAAAGTCCAGTACCGCTTCATTCGTATTGAAAAAAAAAAAACTTATATACACTTCTTAAAGTTACGTGTTTACAAAAGCTTGTTTCCTCCACTCCGTTTCTATTCTTCAAGTTCCTTAAAAGCTGCGTCATTTTTTGAGTGAAAAATGTGCGTAACTTCTGATATCAGCATAGAGAGGTGAGGGAGGGAGCGAATAAAATAAGAGGGAGGGAAGAAATAAAAAAGAATCTTGAAGTTATGAATTATTTGGGCATCAGTATTGAGGCTTATTTTTACTTAATGATGCTATATTTATGCAATAAAAACATTAGCCAATCTGTATTAATTCCTGGGAAAACGAACCTTTAGTCACTTTAAAAAGCACATCACTGACTTTGAAAATTAACTTCACCTTTTTCATTGGGGAAACCCTTTAAAAATTTCCAACTTGCACGAGAACTTCCCTCCCTTATTCTTCATACTCAGTCATTCATTCTAAAGATGAGTAAAATTAGGTTGCAATATCCATGCTGCCTCCAGAGTACCTCTTTCACACAGTATTTTTAGAAAATTATTTCCTTGTTTGCTCTTCAGTACCTCCACTCCTTCCTCCTGTGACCCTCCCACAATATTTACCCCTCCTACAAGACCAGGTCTCCAGTAATGAAACGAGAGTTTTCCAAGCAGTTACTTCATTAACGGCATTGAGTAGACAAGTGAGGTCCCGCCCCCTAGGAGGAGCTAACACCGCGGAGCGAATCAGGCGGATGGTCGATAACAAATGAACTCTCAATCTTTTCAGAGGAGGAAACACACACAAAGGCCCAATCAGAGACCGCGGCTCCAGGAGTCCAGAGGGGGCGGGGCTGGACAAGCACCACCCACTTCCCAACCTCCCGCCGCGGCCGACTGAGCCTCGCGGGCTCCGACAGGTCCCGCCCCCTCGCCAGGCGCGGCCGCTATTGGGCGGCGGGCTCCTCGCCGAAGCCTCAGTTGCTGGGAGAGGGAGGGCGGGGGCGGGGCCTGAGGTGGGCCGGGGGAGCGTTGAAGAGAAAGGCGGGGAGGCAAGGGCGGGCTGGGCGTATTCGACGAGCGCCGCGGCGGTTGGCGTAGCGGACGGGGTGCAGCCTCCCCGGTGTGAGGAACGGTCTCCGCTGACAGATCCCCTTCTTCCGGCCGCGCCACTCGGGAGGCGGATCCCCTGGGCCTGAGGAGGCTTCCCCCGCCCGGCTTGCTTTCCCTCCCTCCCTGGCGCTGCCGCGAGTCCACCGAGCGGCCTCTGAGGAGCAGCCGCAGGAGGAGGAGGAGGTCGTCGGGGGCGGCGGGCGAAGACCGCGCTCTCGCTTCCCCGGCGGCGGCGGGGGCAGGACAATGGAGGTGGCTGTGGAGAAGGCGGCGGCGGCAGCGGCAGCGGCCTCGGCGGCGGCCTCCGGGGGGGCGAGTCCACCGAGCGGCTCTGAGAGCGCAGCCGCAGGAGGAGGAGGAGGTCGTCGGTGCAGGGCGAAGACCGCGTTTCGCTTCGGCGGCGGCGGGGGCATATAATGAGAAAGAGAGGTGGCACGGGCAAAGGCAAGCGGCAGGCGTTACCCGGCGGCGGCCTGGGGGGCCCTCGGCGGCGCCGAGCGGGGAGAACGAGGCCGAGAGTCGGCAGGGCCCGGACTCGGAGCGCGGCGGCGAGGCGGCCCGGCTCAACCTGTTGGACACTTGCGCCGTGTGCCACCAGAACATCCAGAGCCGGGCGCCCAAGCTGCTGCCCTGCCTGCACTCTTTCTGCCAGCGCTGCCTACCCGCGCCCCAGCGCTACCTCATGCTGCCCGCGCCCATGCTGGGCTCCGCCGAGACCCCGCCGCCCGTCCCTGCCCCCGGCTCGCCGGTCAGCGGCTCGTCGCCGTTCGCCACCCAAGGTGAGAACCGGCTGCGGCCGCGGGGGAGCCCGGGGAGAGGGCCGGGAGGGGGCGGGCGCCCTTGTGCAGCGCGACCCGCTGTCATGTCGCCGCCGCCCGGGGTGCGCGGCGGGGGAGGGGCGAGCAGGAGGGTCTGTGCTGGCGACGGTGACATGGAGGGCCCGTGCTCTGCGGCGTGCTGCGCTCGGCCAGCAACTTCCCCGGGCGCTGTGGACTTGACTGCGCCGCCGCCGCCGCTCCGCGTTCTCTACAGCCGGGCGGCCCCTGCCAGCCGCACTTTTGCAGACCTCTGCGGAGTCTCCTGCAGCCGGAATCTCGGGTTCCTTGCCGCCTGCATCCAGTTAACGGCTACCCGCCCGCTGCCTCCACAAAGCTTTGTCCAGGTCCATATGATCCTGATCATCTCGTCTATACCCACGTTATTTGAGCTGGAGGGGAGAAGGGAGGGATGAAGATGAAGTGATGGTGACTTTCTTTCATGACTGACTGCAGATCGGATGTCATTTATTTCTTATCTTGCATGTTTGGGGCTCTTTACCTTAATGAGTTCCCAATTCTCTTCCCTCTCCTCTGCTGGGGACAAAGGAACCAAGAGACGTTGTTTTGTTGTGTGTCTCTTTCAAGGGTTTTCTTTTGAGACGGTGAAGAGAAATGATGCAAAGTGATTTGGGGTGCAGGGTTTCCTGGTATTTCATAGATAAAGCTGGAAGTTACTGTTCTCTTTGTGGTGTTTATTACTGTAGAATTAGACTTATGACAGGTGTTCCCATTGCTAACTTTAACAGGTTTGAAACATTTAAAGTAAGTTTAAGTGGATACAGTTTTGGGTAGAACACTTGGCAGTTTTTAAATTTTATTGCAAATATTTGAGCACCTCCTTTTAAAAAAATACAGTGTAACTGGAAAAGCATTTTTAATACTTTTTAGAGGGAATAGTTGATTTAGTTTGAAATAAAATGCTAATTTTACGCTACGTTAAGGGAAGTATGAAATGGATACTTTAGATTGTGGTCCGAGACTCATTTATTTAACTGCATGTTAGGCCCAGTATCCACTTGTAGGAGACAGTTTTCCATGTGTCTCCGTTTCTTCACTCTTGCCAGCACCCTTGCCAGGAAGATACTGACTGCCCTTTGTTTCTGTTTTTCACGGATATTATCTAAAGAGCAGCCTTCGATAATGTCTTCCACCAGAGCAAGAGGCAGGGATACGTATTATCCACTATAATAAGAATAATGTCTCCCTCTGGAGCGAAAGGGTAGGCATGCTTACTGCCCATCTTAAAAGATTAGGGTTCCCTAAGCTTAGGGTTCCTCTCCTGTAGAGAAGGAACTGCCTGTGTAGATGTCAGCTGGCTCTCTTCACGTTTACCAGTGGGAACCTGGAGTTCTGAGAACTAGTGCAAAAATCTTGATGCTTTGGCTTATGCTGTTCCTGTGAGTAAAAAACAAACTGCCCTGTGTCTCTGACCCTTGAGTGTCTTCTATCACCATCCGTGAAACTGGTAAGGTTGTTAGTTTGCAAGTTGAACAAACTCTCAGATCCTTCACACTAGTTTGTTCTGAAGAGGCCCACTACTGGAAAGTTCGAACAGGTGAAAGCTTAAACCTTAGTTCCTGTTTGTTTGTTTATTTTGAGACGGAGTGTCGCTCTTGTAGCCCAGGCTCAAGTGCAATGGTGGGATCTTGGCTCACCGCAACCTCTGCCTTCCGGGTTCAAGCGATTGCCCTGCCTCAGCCTCCCAAGTGGCTGAGATTACAGGCATGCGCCACCACGCCCGGCTAATTTCGTTTTTTTTTTTTTTTTTTTTTTTGGTAGAGATGGAGTTACTCCATGTTGGTTAGGCTGGTCTCGAACTCCCGACTTGAGGTGATCCGCCCACCTTGGCTTCCCAAAGTGCTGGGATTACAAGTGTGAGCCACCGTACCCCGCCTGTTCTTATTTCTTAGACGCATTTTAAGGTTGGTTTTTTCCTTCCTCCCTGCCTACCTTCCTACCTCCCTACCTCGCTTTGTCCTTCAGGCTGGAATGCAGTAGCACGATCTCAGCTCACTGCAACCTCCGCCTCCCGGGTTCAAGCGATTCTTGTGCCTCAGCCGGGCGCCACACCCGGCTAATACGTGTGGTTTTTTTTTTTTTTTTTTTTTTTTTTAGTAGCGATGGAGTTTTGCCATTTTGGCCAGGCTGGTCTTGTACTCCTGACCTGAGGTGATCCACCTGCCTTGGCCTCGCTAAATGCTGGGATTACAAGCATGAGCCACCCCGCCCGGCCTCTTCCATTTATATTTTAAATGGTTAAACAAGCTAGTAGCCACTTAAGATCTGAATTGTGCATTATTATAGAATTAAGATATATTGTTTGCCTGGCCATGACATATGGACTTGAATTAATGAGAACATGGGTCATAAAGTTATCATCCTCAATTCTGAGACAAGTTTGGGATTCCATACTTCTCAAAATGTTCTACGTAATTACAATCTGAATATTTTTTGTCTTTATGCTGTATTGTAAGCAAGAGTTCAAAGAAAGCATTTAAATTGGGAGATGTTTTTGTTTTTATACTAAGAAAAAAGTTTTAACAAATTATACTTTAAAATAACCTCTAAAAAGGATTAAAGTTATCTTTAATAAATTAAAAATGCTGTCCTGAGTCTTAGTGACTTGGGTATTTTCTCCCTTTATCTCTCCTTGCATACTTATTTTAATACTAGCTGAAGCAAAAGTTTAGACATTTCTTAACTAAATAATGGGTTCATTTGATCAAACCAGTTCTTCATTTTCCTAATGAATTTGTGAGTATGGGCATCACAAGTCAAGTAATACCTATTACAAAAGGGTTAAGTAGGTAGTTGGGATGGAGAACTGTGAGAGCCTTGGGGTAAAATGATAGGAAATGATGCGGAGTACAAGCAGGGGGGCAGACTCTTAGCTATAGCACTTTGTCATGTGAGTGCAGGGCAAGTATTGAAGGATCTTTTATTTATTTAATGCAAATTCTGAATCTGGATTTTTAACATAATTTTTCTAGTATTAGGTATTGTCAAGTAATTAAAAATGTGAATATTTATACACATACATGTATCTACACACAGACAATTAATTTATGGGCCCATGCTATAGGCCAAACAATAGGTGTGTTGAGGCCAAATATGTTACAGTTCATACACTTTTTAGATTTCAAAAACTGGAGATTTTCAAACTTTAACACTGCTAGAATCGCCTAAAAAAAATTTAGAGTTTTAGGACCCTCCCTCCTGAAAGTCCGATTCTACCTAGTCTGGCATACTTACAGAATTCTAGAGTATAATACAGTTATACTCCAGAATTGTTTCTTTAACACAAGCAGTATTCTAAAACTGTTTCAGATCTAGTTTCCCTTTCTATAAAATACTTTTTAATGCTGTCTTTGTCATCCTAAATGAATTTCATGGGGAAAAAAATCCTTCCTAACACATTTTTCTTACAAAAGTAAACATAATGTTTGAACTGTTTTAAAGGAGAAATAAAATGAAGCAAATAACAACAGAAAAGTATAGTTTATAAATGCTTAGATACAATTACACTGGCCACCAAGCTCCCATTGAGAACATTTGTTTTAAAACTTTGGTTTAACTGTCTTTTTTTCTCAGGCTCCATGTTGGAAGGAATGAGGGTAAATGACCACAAGCTAAAATTGGATGACTCCTTCAGTCTTAACTGTCATTTTGTTATTATGCAGTTATATCTAGGAAAGAGGCAAAACTTGAGAAAATGGATTTTCTTTTATGTACATTAAGAAAACAAACTGATCTTAAGAGAAATGTTATGACATTGTGTACTATTTAGTGTTAACATACTGTTCAGCTAATGAGTAGCGAACTGAGAGTTTGAGAGCAGTTTTTTCCTCCATACCTAAAAGACAATATTGAAGAGCTATTTTTAACAAATACTGAGAACGTAACTTTTGAAAGGTATCACATTATTTGTCTAGAGAGGGTAAAATATAAGACTAAATCCCTTTTCCAAGATTTCTTTACTAACTGGCAGTATACAAGATATGTAACTATTCTGGGACTGATTTCTTGGCAAAAAGTATAAATCATCTCATGAGTGCAAGCTTTAATTGCAAAGGATTAATATTTAAGAATGATCTGTGTTACCTGTCAGTCCTATACATGGTTTATTCACCTCTTGGTAGAAATCAGTATTTTTTAAATTTGGGGCTATTGTGAATAAAACTTAAAGGTATTTGTCATTTCCCTGAGTAAATAACAGAATTGGAGTTTCTTGTTTTTATGATAAATGTATGTTTACACTGCTTGTATTACTTTATAGTCCCTCCAGCAGTTCCCTCCAGAGTTTGTTCACTCTCTCCAATTTGGGTATTGTCAGTCTTAAAAAAAATTATTTATTTATTTTTTATTTATTTATTTTTTTAGACGGAGTCTCACACTGTGTCGCCCAGGCTGGAGTGCAGTGGTGCGATCTCGGCTCACTGTAACCTCCACCTCCCAGGTTCAGGCAATTCTCCTGCCTCAGCCTCCCAAGTAGCTGGGATTACAGGCACCTGACACTACACCTGGCTAAATTTTTTGTATTTTTAGTAGAGACAGGGTTTCACCATGTTGGCCAGGCTGGTCTTGAACTCTTGACCTCAGGTGATCCACCTGACCTCAGGTGATCCACCCGCCTTGGCCTCCCAAAGTGCTGGGATTACAGGCGTGAGCCACTGTGCCCAGCCTGTTATTCTTTTAAATTTTAACCATTCTAGTAGGTGAGAAAAACTATCTCATGGTTTTGGTTTTCATTTTTCTGATGAATAATGATGAGCATCTTTTCTTGTGCTTAGTAGTCATTCTTTTTTGGTGAGATTTTGGCTTGTCTTTTGCAAATTTCAAAAAATTAGGTCGTTTGCCTTTTTTTTTTTTTTTGAGACAGCATCTTGCTGTGTTGCCCAGACTGGAGTGCAGTGGCGCCATCTCAGCCCACTGCAACCTCCACCATGTTGCTCAGGCTGGTC